GAAACATATTTTTATCATATGTCATATGATCCGTTGCCCCAGAGTCCAGAATCCAACCTGTATGGTGCTGTTTCTCGGAGGCTAAGAGAACATGTCCCATGGTACCTGTGTCGGACGACGAGGCACCCTGAGTACGAGTCAACAAATTCTGACCAGAGTCACTGGGGCTAGGCACGGCTTCCTGAACAGTGGGTGTAGCTGCAGCAAGGGAGGCACGGCCTCCACTGGACCCGGCTGCTCCACGCTCCTTGGCACGTAATTTTTTCTTTAACTCTGGGAACCAATCAGGCACTCCATGCTTAGTAAAGCATGTATCCTCAGTATGACGGGTTTGTCCACAGAAATTACACTTCAAATCATCTTTATTTTCTCGGTTGAAGGGACGAGAATTTAAAGATTGATTAGAAGAATTACTAGAACGATTTGTACCAGCCGGCCGAGAGATCATTACCATGGACAGCAACCCTCCTTGATTGTTACTTCCACCCATCATGGTAGCATGTCGTTGAGCTTCACGTTGAACAACAGAAAACACCTCCTCAACAGAAGGTAAAGGTTGAGTACGTAAAATATCACTACGCACTTTATCAAACACATCATCCAATCCCGCCAAAAACGCGTACACACGATCAATCTGAACTTCTTCTCGAAGCGTCTTGAGATCCACAGCACATACCATCCGGATTAGTCTTCGCTGATCTAACTCCTGCCAAACGAACTTGAGATCAGCATAATACACACCAACTGGCCGACCCTCTTGACGGAGTCTGAATGATTTAACCTTTAATTCATAAATCTGAGAAATATCTGATCCATCATAGTAGGTCCGAGCTACCTCTTCCCACACTTCTTTAGCAGTACGTAGGTGAATGAAAAAACCCATAATAGTAGGTTCCATGGAGTTGATCAACCACCCTTTTACTATTGCATTCCCTGTCTCCCACGTCTCATACTCAGCACTAGCCTCAGCCGGCTCCTTGATACTCCCAGTCACAAAGCCCTTCCTACCGCGTCCAGCGATGTGCATCTCCAAAACCTTGGACCAAAGAGGATAATTTGATCCATTTAACTTCACGGTATTGGGTACAGCAGACGCATCACTCTGAATAACGATAGGATTCACGACTTGATTATTGGTTGAGTTACTGCCCTCTAACCGCATCACGCCACTGCCTCCTGAGTCCATTCGGTGTTGATCACCAAAACTGTGCAGGACACGCAAACACCGAATCACCAAAAACTGTGCAGGACACGCAACCACACCACACAGACAAAAACTGTGCAGAGAAGTCGGCTCACACTGTTTTCTGCAGAAAATTTGCAGAAAAACGCAGGCACCCACGCACAGCGGAACACACTACGGTTTCGGCCTGCTCTTGATACCAAATAGAACTTTTACGGAATGTTTTTTGTATTACTTATTCTGAAATATATACATGTACAATCTACGTTCCACAAGGAAACAAAAGCTTTAACACAAACCTACTTAAAAAAGAACTCCTATTATTTACATTCCTTTTTTCCTAATATTGACTCATGATCAACAGCTTCTTCCTGTGCACAGATCGAGATCAAGTCATCCAATGCCCATTTCTCCTTTTGAGTATTATAGGAGATCTTCAGTTGGTTAAACTTTGGAGGCTACGAATTTAGGACCATGTGGACTATGAATGCATCGTCAATGGGAACATCCAATTCTCTGAGTTTGGCAGCAGTCTCAACAAGTTTAAGAATGTGCTCTCTCACACTCTTATTCTCATCAAGTTTCAGGGTTGTCAGGGTTGTCATCAAATCTCCCATCTCTGCCTTTTCTGACTTTCTGAACTTCGCTCCCATAGCTTCCAAGAAATCTTTTGCTTTGTCACATGCAAAGCCACCCCTCATTGTATCACTCATAGTCCTCTTCATCACCATCAAAGCCATTCTATTAGCCTTCTCCCATTTTTCAAATTTCATCCTCTAATCAGGAGTTGAATCATCAGTTAATGGTGCTGGTTCATCTTCTCTCAAGGCTAAATCAAGGTCCATTAGCCCTAGCACGATCTCAACATCTTCTCTCCACTTTTTGTAATTTCCTTCACTCAAGGTTTCAATGGAAGACAGGTTCAAAGTTGAGGAAGACATCAAAACAAACAAATAAAATTATTCAGATGCATGTTTATATCACGCCTTTAGGCTAGACATATGAACTGCCATTATTTTCTTATTGTACAGCCACTATTCACAGGATCATTTATGCAATTTTTAATCTAGTCTTTGGACTAACACATAGATAGATCAATATGGCCCAGTACACTGATTAAAACTCTTGACAATTCATACATACTTCTCTTTAAAAAAGAAACTTGACACTTTAAGAGTTTTGAATCACCATTCATTAATTCCAAATAAAAAATGAAAAAATACGTAACTATGGACTAGGACCAGTTAAGCTTACTCTGATACCAAATGTTGGAAAATTCACACACTTAACTGATAACACTAGTCACATAAGAGAAAAAAGATCAACGCATGTTTACCTAAGGAAGACATCGTTAATGGTTGCTTCAAAATACTCTTTTACTCACTGAAAGCCTTTATGTTCTTATGGTGATAGAACCCTAATCCCAGAACGTGTCTTTGTGAGCAAGAAATTTCTGCATTTATAGAGGCAAGGCAGCCAACTTCCATCTATCGTGGAAGTGTGGTTATTAACCCGTTGCCCCAAATCTCGGTAGACGTGAAGTGATGGAATATCAGTTGAACAAAGAAGTTATTTCCCAGTATTTAGAATGTGTTTGCACAATAATAGGACATTAACTTTTCCGCGTATTAAAACTCTTAAGAACTATATTATCAACACATAACCTCTCCTTTATCACAACTTGTTAAGTTCATGTAGAATTCTTGCAAACCCGATTATCAGCACAAGAGTTTACATAATTTTATAGTGATCGAAAAGCTATGAGATAGCAAGAATAGTTTATAGGGAACATATTAAATAAGAGACTACTCAATGATTTACAGATCACTTAACCTTTGCAGTAGTTCAAAGATAATTTCAAAATTTTCTCCTCTGCTGCTGTGATTTGTGAGTCATAAACCTAAGTGTTAAGAATGAAAAAAGTTCCACCGTATATCCAAAAGAAGAGAGAAGCAAGTGCTACCCGGCTATTTAATTTGTCATTTCTTCTAAAAGAAACAAGGGTGAACCAATTGAAGAATTCGACACATGTTGATTGGAATATGAATTCTTGTGTTACTATCCAATGGAGTTTATTGTCTTCTCTCATTTTGCCTGCATTAAGCACTCAGAAGCACAAGTATGATGGCAAACTGTTTGCAATGGGTTCACTTTTCAAGTATTTGTCCTTGTCCTATACCAGTTTCTTGTTCTACGTGGTTGTTTCAAGGTAGAGATGTCTTACCCCATAAACAAACACCCCAATAATCCTCTCGCATATTTGGAGAGACCTCAGGATTGAAATCAGTATTGCCAGATCCTTTATTGGCCATAACTACAGTATCTTCATCCTCTTCATCCAAGGAACTGTAAACAAAATTTTCCATTTCAGTAGTTTCCAGTTGGGTTCATGCCAGGGTGCTCAACCATGAAGACGGGTTGAGCATAGACTGAGGCAAGAGACACGGGGTATTGGACAACTAATTTGGGTTATGCCATGGTGCTTAACCATGGAGGCAATCTATCTCTTACAAAGATCAATGGAAAGATAGAGAGATATGAAAAAGGATTTAAACATGGTCTTTATAGATTTGGAAAAAGTGTATGATAGGGTCCCAACATACATTCTTTGGAGGATTTTAGAGAAGAAAGGAGTACGAGTAGCATATATCCAAGTTATAAAGGATATGTATGATGAAGCAATGACTGCCGTAAGAACTCATGAAGGACAAATCAAAAGCTTCCCCATAGCTGTAGGGTTACATCAAGGCTCATCTTTATTTCCTTACCTTTTTGCATTGATAATGGATGAGTTAAGAAGACATATTCAAGATGATATTTCTTGATGTATGCTTTTTGTAGACAATATAGTGTTGACAAATGAAACTTAGGAAGGAGTAAATGCGAAGCTTAACCCTTGGAGAGAAGTGTTGGAATTTAAAGGTCTTCGCCGAAGTCGGTCAAAGACAGAGTATATGGAGTGCAAATTCAGTGCAAACGGAGGCTCAAATGAGTTAGGGATGATGATTGGAGATCAGGAAGTACCAAAGAGCCACTTTCACTACCTAGGATCTATCTTGCAAAAGAACAGAGAGTTGGTTGGAGACCTTAACCATAGAATACAAGATGGATGGATGAAGTGGAAGAGTGCATTCGGCATGTTGTGTGACCGCCGTATGCCACTGAAACTGAAGGGAAAATTTTATAGGACGACAATGCTTTATGGGACGGAATGTTAGGCGGTGAAGTATCAACACATACATAACATGGGCGTAGTAGAGCGGATATGAGAATGCTTCGTTGTGGTGGTTTGGATATGTCCAAGGTAAAGTAGGAGTAGCCGAAATTGAAGGAAAGATGAGAGAAAATCGGTTACGGTGGTTTGGACATGTGAAACAAAGGTTTACTGACTTTCCGATTAGAAGATGCAATTATGGGACAAAGGTCTAGGGCTGAAGGGATAGAAGAAGACCTATGAAGACTTTGGAAGAAACTCTAAGAAAAGACTTAGAGTACTTGGATCTAACGAAGACGTGGCACATAACCAAGCACAATGATGTTTTAGGATTTATACAGTTGACATCACTTAATGGAAAAAAGCTTTGTTGTTGTTGTTGTCGTAGTTTCTGGTCCCCAAGAGTGCATTTTAAGAACCTCAAATTTTGGGAAACGCCCTTCACCAAGATACCATGATTTTAGAATTAATTTACTGAAGGAAGACAAAAGGACAAAGAATTGACTTTTCCAAAGAAGCATACCTGAGAGGATAGCATCCCCTGTTGTTTCTAGGCTACTATGAACTCTCAATTCATTCTCTGAAATTATCTCCACCCCACAACTATGTTGCAGGGGCTTTCCTTTCTTGCACTGTCTTCAGAACCCCCCGGCGGTTGGCCTCTTCATCTCCTAGTGTCACGCTCTAAAAATTGATGGAAATAACGTAACTGAACAATAAAGAACTTAAACTTTTATGCATTCAATATAAGTAAATTAAATAGAAATCAAAGAGAAACATTTACGAACTAGCATAAAGGGATCGATACACTACCACCACTATTTTAACACAAGACAGAGATCAATACTTGAATATCAAGCTTAAGAATCAAGTGAAAAGAATGAAAAATTAAATATAAGGGAGAAAATAAAGAATAATAAAAGAAAGAACTGACTATTATTTGAAAATAACCATGGCTACCTCACCTGTATTCGTCCAACGAGCATCTCTAATGAAGGGCTCATTATTAAATTCTCAATGGTTACACCATGAGCCGTGGCAACTAGCTGAATTCCGTGTTGCGCAATTTTGCTTGCAGCCAGAGCTTCAAGTTTAGTGCCAGTTTCATCAATTACAATCACTTGTGGCATATGGTTTTCAACAGCCTCTATCAAGACCTGAATAAAAGTAGATAATAAGCATGCGATTTCATGATGAAAACAGAACATAAGAACATTGATTTGGATGAGACAATGTAAGGTATCCACACAAACTTAGATGAGACACTGAGGTACCAATTACACTCCTTGTGATGAGTTTATTTTATTGAGAAGGGAGGGGTGCATCATTTGAATTGGGTCCGGCAAAGTGAAGGGAAGTACCACTAGATCAATAGCTAGCTGCATTGTAATATAATTCATTCTGCAAGTGTTAAGATAAACTATCAGTAATATAATTCATTTGGCAATTCTCCACGGGCCCAGAGTTCGGACCTCCACCTCCACTCGGGCTCTCCAACGCTAGAGCCGGTCCACAGGGCTTCAGGCCCCTTTTCTCTCCCCCGTCCCCCAAGCAACCAGCAACGCTGGGCTTGCTCTAATGTGTTCATCCGGGAATTTCAAATTGCATAACTTTGGAAACTCTAATTCCTTAAGAAGCATAATATCTGCGATATCTCGTGTAAATTACTAATTCAGATATGGCAATAGGGTGCGTTAACTCAAATATAAAGAGAACAAGAAAGACTAACCGGATCATTGTTGTTTTTCCTACCCCCGGAGGTCCAATGAGTAACAAAGAACCGCCATCTTGAACCAAATCTCGCAGCAAGACAGCACTGCCAGATATTGCCCTACCAACACGACAAGTTAGACCAATAATGACACCTTTTCGATTCCTAATGCCAGTAATGCGGTGTAATGTCCTGCTAATGCCTGCTCGATTGTCAATGGCAAGATCACCAACCTACAACATGCAGCTGAGTAAGTGGCAAGCATGATATTCTCTTTGATAATCAATTAAAAAATAAAATAAAAATTTAGAACAAAGTGGCTGCCGGAAACCTTGAGTTTGCAAGCATGGTATTCAACCAAAGACCCGAGACCACAGGACAACATAATAAAAATGTGATCGAAAGTGTCCAAATCATTCTTGCACAAAATGCACCACTACAATTTAGTCTTCTTTAACCCTGCCTGTAAACCTCTTAACTCAAAATCCCCGTAACAATGGGTCATGAAACCTTTACAGCAAAAATTCATTGAAAAAGAAAAAGAAAGCCAATTACTTTAAACCAGACTCCTCCTTTCACAATGCAACAAGAGGAAGAGCATTTTCGACAACAAGCAGGCATTAGAATTTGGGTGTCCACATTCTTTTTTACCTCATGGGGGAATATGCAGATTCTTGTTAAAAAGAGACGTAGAATTTGGGTAGTGTTATCCACACTCCTTTTTACATTCTATTCATCTGTCTCGATTTTTGGACATTAAATTGAATTAATTAAAGAAGGTCAAATAATAGAATTTAACAAACAATATGTGAAGAGTAAAAATAAGTGGGGATAACACCACCCTAGAATTTAAGGTGTAAACTCTAAGCTTACTTTTTCCTGTGTGGACTATGGAGCATCTCAGTCATCATAATTAAGAGTCTTACACGTCACGGTTGTATTTTCTTAAACTTGATTACATTATGAGTGTTACTAGATGGAGATATATCCTCGCTGAAGGGCTGGACTACGATTTCGTGCGGGCGGTTTTTAGGTAAAATCGAAACTAAAATTGAAAATTTATTGTGGTTTGGTTCGATTTGGTTTGATAATGAGAAACAAAGTGAAACCAAACCATTTGGTTTTGGTTGAATTAGGTTTCAGATGGTTTTGGTTCGATTTGGTTTCAAACGGTTTTGGTTTTGGTTTAGGCCTGTTAAAAATTCGGCTTAGCTTACATCTATTTCTGTTTGGGGTTCCAAACTTTTTATTTTAAATTTTATTTTTGTAATTCTTTTTTTAGTTTGTTTTGGCCCCAAAGCATAGGAGAAGAACAGTTTTAAGTAAGTAAAACCAAAATTGATAACCACCATACTAAAATTCAATGACATCCCTTTGTTTCAAAATCAAAACGGAAAAATAAATCCCAGCAACCAACAAACACTACACCAAAATTCGACCAAAAAAAATATTTTTATATTATATGGTTCGGTTTGGTTTGGGTTCAATTTCAAATATTATGAATCGAAACCAAATTGCTTTTAGTTCAGTTTCAAACATAAACCTGTGTCGATACCACAAAATTGAACCATTCAGTGAGGTCCAGTTTGGTCAGTGTTTCGATTTCGATTTTCTGTCCCAAGTACCACTCCTAGCTCGAATGACGTTAAAACCCTTCTCCATAAGTTAACCACTTAACATTCTTGTGGGTTGTAATTAGATTGTTTCCTTGTCATAGATATAAGTTACAGTAACACTTTATTCAAACAGAGCGACCTCTCCTAGGTTGAGCCTTATTGGATCAGAAACCTTTAATAGTGAAGGCCCAGCCAGTTGATCCAACAGCCCACTTAGCACAAATCCAACATGCACTGCAGCCCTTGCAATGGAAGATGGATGTTTCTGTCAGAACGGGATTCTCATTCATTCATAATCCCCAAGTACAGAATTTTCTTCCCATTTACTGTTTATGTTTTCTTCTATAAGCAATATAAGTTACTTCCAAAATAAAATCTTAAATGTTTGGTGTCACCGTACTTCAGCGGAGAATTTCTTGATATTTCATGAGGCATCACCGTAGTTTAGCTGAGAGTATCAATGTATCATGAGTATTGCAAAGGTGCTAGCTTATCTCATGTCTAGTTAAATTCTGATATTGTAATTTGATCCTACTTTAAAGACCTGGAAGTGATTTTAACACATACATTTCCTCTCCATGCACACTCCTATTCGTTTTTTGACCTTTTAATTGGATAAATAAAAAATCGTCTACTTAAAGATAATTCAAATAATACATTTTACTAAATATAAGAGCTCGTTTGAAAGTTCTTTTCAATAACTAAAAGCGTTTTTAGTGAAATGATTTTGGAACCAATCTTTAGTAAAAACACAAATGAATCCTACAAAAGCATGTTCTTCTTTCAGGAAGTACTTCAAGTGTTTTTGGATTCATTTTTGGAGTTCAAAAACATTTTCTCTTAGAACGCTTTTAGTCATTTAAAAAACAATTCCAACGAGTTCTAAAACTCTTCTACTCAAGATGTATAATACCAAGACTTTGTGGCCTCAACCAACAATTATAATCTCTTAAGAAATGCCATGATGATTGATGGATAAATAGAAAATCGTCTCCTTAAAGATAATGCAAATAATACATTTTACTAAATATAAGAGCTCGTTTAAAAGTTCTTTTAAATAACTGAAATCGTTTTTATTAAAAATGATTTTGAAACTAATTCTTAATAAAAACGCAAATGAATCCTACAAAAACATGTTCTTCTTCCAACAAACACTTTAAGTGTTTTTTTTATCCATTTTTAGAATTCAAAAACATTTTCTCTTAGAACGTTTTTAATCATTTATAAAACAATTCCAAATGAGTCCTAAAACTCTTCTACTCAAGATGTATAATACCAAGACTATGTGGCCTCAACCAACAATTATAATCTCTTAAGAAATGCCATATTGATTGATGGGTAAGTTGAGAGAGTTTTAAGAGAGTGGGTCCAAAGGCTTGACAAAGGCTATTCATTCCTATAAATCTTTAATCCTCCAAGTCAATATCTTAAGAAATCATATCATGCCTTGCGCCATAAGCCTTAACATCACCCCAGTCGTGTTATTTGGTTTACAAAAAAGCATGATTGTGAAAGTTCACTTGAACTTTTCCATTTTTCAATCAAGTGTGAGGCTCTGTTCGGATGAATAAGAGACTGCAAATTTTTCTTGATAGAGACAAGTAAATTGTTGAATAGTAGCCTTTGTTCAAAAAGTAAGCTACCTAAAACATAATAATTTAGCAACTAGCTTTGATTTATTAATTATAATGCAAATGTTAATCCTTCGTTAATTTAAACGTGATGCATATTTGTTTTTCATTGATTTGTTTTATAATTGACCTTCATCAATCAATGGTTAAGAATCCGCCTCTCAATGTGTCTCTACAGGATGCATGTTTACAAAATTATTAAGATCCGTTGTGTTTTTGTTTTCCTTTCGTGATAACAATAGTGTGGCCTATACACAGTTAAGCATGGTGGAATTCACTTGTGAGACTATAAACACGAAATTTCCTGCTATGATTAAAACAAGAACACGTGTACAAAATAAATTTATGTATTAATGATGTTTACGGTTATAATCTTTGTGGTTTATTTGTTTACAACAATATTCTTTGATTCGATCTCCAAAGTAGAATTTGACGCAAGAATGGTGAACACTTGGACTTGAATCGGGCTTTAATTTCTTCAACGGTCGTCGATGCTTGATTTTGAACAAATCGGGACCACCAATTGTGCCATGTGGTGGGTGATCCTTGGCTTTGATAGTGGATGAATCGACATATGTGTTTGTTGTGCTTGTTTATTCTCCACCAGCTTGATGAAGAACACAAGCGTGTTTGAGTGTTTGGTATTTGCTTTGGCCAGAGAATTTTCTGGTTTTCTCCAAAGGCTTGAGCTTGCTTCCTTTCCCTCAAGTTTGTTTCTTCAAGATGAGCCTATTATTTCTATGCAAGGGATTGTGTATTAGTTTAGAATCCCAAATTTGAATCTCGTAATTTGTGAGATTAATTTTCTAATTTGATTTAATTTGAGCTAATTAATCAATTTAGCTCTTAATTAAATCAGAATCTTTTATTTAGGAAATTAAAGTCTATAAATTGGTCCTAAATTTCTTTTCAATATCTTGATTGAAGAGGTAAACATTCATATTTGTATTTAATAAAGGACCTTTTGACAAAAACAAAGGACAAAAAACCTATGACTGGTTGTACATTTCAAACCAAATATGGAATTCTCTTTTTCATCCCTAAGCTAAAGTTTCTTGCCAAAGAAGCATGGATCCTTCTTTATCAATTGTCAAATTCCTTAGCCATGCGCATTTAGAAAGGGAGGGATTTCAATTTTTCACTATCAAATTTAAAGTAACTTTAGCTTTCTGGTGTAAAAGGAATCGAGTTATCGGCTTTGTTTGAAAAAGAAGGAAAGAAAATTATTTATAGATAAGATGCTACAATTCACATGGAAAAAAACATATATTGGCTCTTCCCAAACCGATCACAATTTCTATCACTCTTTTTCCTCTTACCGCTACCTTGTAAATCTACAATATCATATTGTGATTTTCTTATGGGGAGGAAGACAATGATTTTGGCATATTAAAATAAAAGAAATGTAAGGATAATGAGAATTATATAACAAAAATTTGATGAGGTTGTCATGTTTGACCAGAGTAAAATTGTCACATCCTAATTTCGACTCCGCCGTAGCACAATATTGTCCGCTTTGAGCTTTGATCACGCTCTCACAGTGGGTCACCCATCCTAGGAATGCTCTCACCCGAACTTGCTTAACTTCGGAGTTCCGATGGAATCGAAGCCAATGAGTTCCCAAAAGGCCTCGTGCTATATGGAGATGGGCATGTACATATAAGGCACATCACCCCCTCTCAATCTGTCGATGTGGAATGTTACAAAAATTCTCTCCCCTCCAAATTCTCCTCCTCTCCAACTTTATATTTAAACAGTCATGATTAAATCTCGTGAACATCTGGTGTTGATTTCTTTATAAAGAGAGAAAAAAAAGAAGAAGAGAAAAGTGAGAGAGGAGGGGATTGAAGGAGAAGGGATTTGGTAGAAAAAAAAATAAATAAAAATCATACTACTGATTGACCACCCCCCATCTTTGTGTTTGGATAGAGTACGTGTTGCACTTGTAATTTAATACGTATTTATGTTCTTTTAGATTCATTTTAGAAATATGAACCTGTGATGCAATCCATGTATTATTTGGGTCAGATAATCTTTACCGACAAAATAACTCAATCATAAATCGTATAAGTTATAACTATTTGATTATTATCTTCATATTTCAATGTTTGTTGATATCATTATCTTCGTAATTAATATCTATTTCTTTGGTGATGGTTAAATAATATTTTCCTATATAATCGATTGCTCTCAAAGATTATCATTGAACGAGACTTGAAAAATAAAAGGTTTGAATTATGAAACTGTATTGTAAGAAGACACAAAACAATACTAATTTTCATATTACATAACAAACTTTTATGTCCTTAAATATTCATGTTGTTCGTTTCCAATTGAATTTAAAGAAATTTCTCATTTAAAAAAAAAAAAAACTAATTAAACAACATGAATAACCATCAATGTACTCTCTCTCTCTAGTAAGCGTGGATCGTTCATGAGTCCAAAAGGACCAAGTATTTTGGTGTCACCGTCCCCGCAGCACATGACAGCCACCAATTGTTGTGACTATTACCCTCGTCGTTTGCACTTTTTGACAAACATGATGCACTCTTGGCATGCCTGCTTAATACTCACCCACACCACACATCGACTTGCATATGCATGTCTCTCTCACTCCGCAATCAACAAGTTTATACGGACCCTATTTCTTCTTAGTACAAATGTTAGTGGAGCCAAAAATAATTAAAAGGCGGCACGTGGATTTTTGGGTTAAAAATATAAAATTACCCTTGAGGCACATCGGAATTCCTACGCTCGAGCGGTGGACAATCATCCCTCAATCAAGTCAAAAATGCCCAAATAGGTATTTATTTTTAAACCTATTTCATCCATTCTCATCAAATTCTCTCCACAAGGTAACCCCCAAATCATTCATTTTTAATTATATTAATTATCTAATTAATTGATTTATTATTCAATTATTCTTAATTAGCTACAAATCATGAACCTCACCCAAAATATCAACCAAGTGGCCAGTCATCCTCCTCCTCCTAAAGGGGCTGGCCACACTCCTATAAATACTACCTTATTCTCTTCAAAACCGAATTCCAATTCTCTTGCTAAATTCTGTAAATTCTCCAAACACTTTTCCTTCAAAATTCTAACTTTGGCATCGGAGGTTCTTCGGCCAAAGTCCCCCCCCCAGGTGTTATTTGTTTTGTAGTGCAATTTTGTCCAAAAACAAGGTGGAAGAAATTTGCATCCACAAATTAGTGCTTTCATTGAGGGTTGAGTCACATGCTCGTAGAAGACTCTCGCATCTAAGGTTTTTTGTAGATTTTTCTTACGTTCTTATTCTTGGAATTTTTATTTCTAAAAATTCTTTAATAAAATGTAAAAGAAAAGTACAAATGGCAAGAGATTCGGAAACCTCGACGAACGGAAATTCCAACGTCCAAAGATTAGGACTCTGGTGATCTTCAAGGCTCAACATGACGGTGAGTGGAGTGGCACCCCCACGAGGCACCACCACGGTGGCCACCACGGTAACCAACCACAACAAGGTACATGGCGCCACAACCACGGTTCGAGCCATGCCACTTCAACCTTTAAGGGCCCAAGCCCTAGCCAAGCCAGCCCGTGCCTCCTAAAGCCTAATGCGTTGCCAAGCCAAGCCCTAGCCTCGCACCCATGTGCGGCACACGCCGAGCAGCCCACTCTCGTGGCCAGCCTACTCCGATGGCCCAGCTTGCTCCCACCAAGCAGGCCACTCTCGTGGCCTTCTAACAGCCCAAATTGGTCCAAGATTAGTTCAACCTTCCAGGCTCCAAATTTCCAGACCGACAATCGAACCGGGAGTATTTTCACCACATTTTTCTATGGATTTAACATTTCCCAACTCAAATCTCACACCCGGAGTTTACCACACTTCCACTGCTCAAGGAGATAAATTCCTTCCAGGCTCTTCCAACCCAAATGGAGAACACTTATCTCGACAAGTCATAGAGTTGACGAGCGCCTTCGTATAGTAGACAACTTTGATGAACCAGCTCTTGCAGCTCACTGAGATGCAACATGCCCCAGACGAGGTGTCCCGAAATAGGACAATGGCAGATGAAGAACCTCTCCAGCAACTTCCCGGTAACCAGCCATGAACCGAGAGTTCGACCAGTGTACAATCCCGACTGGGTTCTCAAGATAGCGTATATTCCCATCTTAGTGCGCGGATGAATGTGCACTCTCAACTAGGCCCACATATGAGCATACATTCACGGTTGAGGCCACACTTCGATAGTCAACATGAGCAACCTTCCAAGTGAAGTGTTTATTCGCTGCTAAGCCCTCAAGGAGCATCATCCACGTCACATCGGAGTAGGCAGCACGATGGACGGAGAAAAGCAGTCACTCAATCAGGCTCAAGTTTAATCGGCAGCCTACGAGAAATTCGTTCGTCTGCTAAGAACGTACCACATGCATCGCAGCTGCGGTGTAGACGAGCCGAATACATGGAAGAGCAGCCTAGACCAGCATGTCACGACCGTGGGCAGCCGAGAGCTCCGCTACCCTAACAAAGGCAAATTCAGGAAGAAGTAGAAATACTTTTGACCAAGTGATTGTGCGATTTCCAACACAACAAGGTCATCGATAAGGCATTACGACGAGACATGACCAACATAAGTAAGTCACCTTTCACGGACGAGTTCGAGCAGGCAGAGCAGTCTTCCAAAAAAGACTTCCGGCAGACCACCCGCTGTTCGAAAAATTGATCATCTAACTCTGGTAAACTCTTTCGCTCTGACAGATAAGTATGCACTTTGGGACAGGGCTCGTTGATCAAAATGCAAGTACTTGAAAAAGAACCTGACATCACTTCCCTACTATCCAAACTAGAAGCAGTAGAGGACCTATTCGCATGTTTGACGGTATCTGAAGCAGTATTAAGCTCTACCATCATACGAAAAGAGCTGGGGGCCCGACTACCTGTATTCCACAGTTCAAAAACTCTCCTTAATGTTACCAGAAATTCAAAAACTAACTTTGGCCATAGTTGTTGCAACCCTGAATCTCAAGTTTTATCTTCAGACGCACACAGTCATCTTTATAACACACTATTCCGCCAAATTCAAATGCGCGACGATAAAGGTGTAGACACTGGAGGATGCATAATTTTCTGACGAACGCAACAACTCGACCCAAATGCGTGCCAAGGGCAGAAGAACACTAGAAAGACACACTCGGAAGAAAGTTTTTGTCCTCGTCACCCCAAAAGATTCTACATAGGAGCAACATGTACCGATAGTCGAACATCACCTCCTGTTACATGTCACACGGCCCCAGCCGACCCTTGCTCCATAATTCAACTCTAGAGTGGCCTAATACTGGCCCCAGCTCCACGGCTCCCTACCACACATTCATGACGCAATAAAACAGCCTAAAGATGTCTCGGAGGTAACCGAGCACGCCCTAGCAATGCTTGCTTCATCGGCTGGAGACTTCTGGCATTTGCATGTTGATGGCACATCCAACTACCAAGATTCGAGAGCAAACGTAGTCCTTGTTACCCCAGACAATTTGATGCCTGAGCATGTGATCACTTTAGGTTTCAAAGCATCCAACAATGAAGCAGAGTACAAGGCCTTACTAGCAGGCCTCCGAATGGTGGCAGTGAAAAAGCTCACAATTCATTTTGATTCCCAACTAAATGCCCAAATAGGTATTTATTTTTAAACCTATGTCATCCATCCTCATCAAATCCTCTCCACAAGGTAGCCCCCAAATCATTCCTTTTTATTATATTAATTAGCTAATTAATTGATTTATTATTCAATTATTCCTAATTAGCTACAAATCATGAACCTCACCCAAAATACCAACCAAGTGGCCGGTCCTCCTCCTCCTCCTAAAGGGGCCGGCCACACCCCTATAAATACTACCTTATTCTCTCCAAAACTGAATTCCAATTCTCTTGCTAAATTCTCTAAATTCTCCAAACACTTTTCCCTCAAAATTCTAACTTTGGCATCAGAGGTTCTCCGGCCAAAGCCCCCCTCCCCCATTCATCATGGGCACATGAGGCTCTTAGCCTTGACTAAAGGTGTTATTTGTTTTACAGGTGCAATTTTGTTCAACAATAAAGACGAAGAAATTTGCATCCCCAATATCTCTAACAATGACCTAAAGTTACAAGATCTTCTACATGATTTTCTTCTTTCATGTCTAATTGACATCTATACAATTGATTTGCCAATTGTCGTATTGTTGGGACATTGAGTGAGATAATAGTTTCGTTAAGTGATGTCATCCTGAGTTTGATGAGATGTACATTTTTAATTCTTAACATATGACATCTTTTAACGGAATTGTTCTCACTTTGTATTGTTATTACTTGCCAAGAAATCAATCATACTGTATACATACATACATTTTTTTTTTTTTGTTTAATCTTTGAAATAGTCTATACAAATACCATTAGTGGTGGAAAAAGACTGCATTGTTGATATTGCACCATCGATCCACATCACTTTAACGCGTGAAGATTGTGGTTGTCAATTGGAGCATAAATGCTCGGCCATAACTGGCTAACACCTAGTTGGCTTCTAAACCATGAAATCAAAATCACCTTAATTAAGACTTGTCATTGTGACTTAGATTATCTGAGTTAGATAAAGGGGAATTGAACCAATGTGAAAACCATGTCAATTAATCTGAGCACACAGCATTAGAAATTGACTTAATTTTCCAAAACAAATTGATTAGAAATTAATATTTCCTACTACAACACTTAACATTAGCTCAACCACTTAATAATATGGTTTAGTGATGTTCTTACAATCACTTGTAAGTGAAAGGTCTTAAATTAGACTTTTATGAATGATAACTTTGACATCAAATTATTATTGCAGACTCATTATGTATAGCTTAGACTAAATCCTTTACCCCTTAATATAAATATATTGTTGTATAAAAAAAAAAAAATAGGCCATGTCACCTATAGAGTGCACAGACTTACTCATGCTGCCTTAAAGCCCTTAACAGAGTTGATTGAGTGTCGATAGATTGAACGAGTATGTTGGTTAATGATTTTAATTGGGCATGTACTTCTAAAACGTTAAAGACCACTAACGCAATATCGCATTAAAAAAAAAAAAAAAAAAAAAGCATGCTATCCTGACATAAGTGTGATTTTTGAAGAGTGCCTGTGATAGTGATTTCGAAGAATGTATGCAAATGCAAATCTTTCATTTACGCATATACCAAATTATATTCATAACAATAAATTCTCTCTTTTTAGGCCACGTCATAAATATATGAGCAAGACAAAGGTTATACGAGTTTGTAACTTATTCCAATTAATTAATTGATTATAACTGTCAGTGTTTTTCTTCTTTTGAATGCGGTCGTATATGAGACAATACATGATGCTGCATGCTATGTTTGGTGATCTTGGATCACGAGACTGCACGGATGCTGGACAATAGAGGGCAACGTACTGATCATCCCATTTCACAGTTTTGCATGGAGGGATTTCTGACATGCACCGCACCTTACTATACATCAGAATTTTTGGTCGTTCAATATTCCAATACATCGATGAGAGTATGGTAAAATTTTTGTTCATGATTAGCTATCATCTGCAATCAATTTTCTTTAACGATAAAAAAAAAATATCCATGAAGAATATCTTACTCAAAGAAACGAGTTTGAACATATTAGTTATACAAAGTACTTCTCACAATTTGTCACGTAATCAAAACGCGAAGAGTTAGTGTAAAGCTGTTGTATGGATACAGTGAGTATTGGATCCTAAACTTCACACACATGATATATACATGATCGTTCCATAGCTCATTGGGTAGAAGGACATGCTAATAAAGGTTGTGATGAAGAAGGTCGAACTTGTAGCTTTGACGCTGAGTTTTAAAAACCTGAATTTGACCCGATCCATTTTCATTAAAGAGTTATTGTACATCGAATCAGATCGCCAAGTTTGATGAAAATATTTACAGTCCCTACGTATATATTAGGGTTGGGAAATACTGTTTGCAATATAAGATAAACCATTAGTGTTCTCGTGTACTTGCTTGTTTGAGACTGTTTATGTAGAACTGATTCCATCATTAGTTACATAGGATTAATAAACTTTGGCGTTACGAGGAGAAGTTTAGAGTTGATATGAAAAATAAATTATATTTAGTCATAAAATGACATAAATCTTACGTCTTACCCCTCAAAATACATGAACAAAAATATACATGTAAAGAGGAGGACACAAACTTGATCATTTAGAAACAAAACAAGAAAGATACAAGAAAAAAAGGTGGAGACATGAGACCTAACTCCTCTGGAACAAAATTTGAAAATTAATAACTTGTAAAACAAGTTGAGAAAAATAAAAAATAAAAATCATCAAGAAAGAAAAATAAATTATTCTTTACATAAAGAACCAAACTAATAAGTTGACAAAACATAAAAACGATTAAAACTCAAACTAATAAAGTTAGGATTTGTGTCTACATGTGTCAAGAGAAATTCGCAAATGCGCGCCTAGTTGAATTTATTTATAACTTCCTTTGAATGTTATTTGTAAGTTCCTTGTTTACGTATAGACTAACGTTAGGGGGACTAAATTTTTAAATCAAATTTGTAAATCAAATGATGTGTCACCAGTAGAAAATAAACACGTTAATTAACACTTAAAAAATAATCTAATCATCTTCAATCACATCATTTAGTTTATAAAATTTTATTTAAAATTTTATTCTCTTTAACATTAAGAAAAATTACATACAGATTATACTTTTAATATTTAATTTTATATTGAGACAACAATTTTCAAACATTTCATAGAAAGACAAAAGGTAATATATGTGAAAGATGACATCATTGGTTTTTTTTGTAAGTTACGAAATACCCTTTTTAGTTGTAAAATATTTTCACACCTCTGTCTCCTTCATCTTTTGCTCCCTTCTCTCTCTCTCGCAAAAATTTTGGCCCCATTTTTGCTTTTATCCTTCTCTTAACTCATTTGCTCGGCTACTTCAACGTTTTTGCACCAGCAAATTTGATACTTTGAGGTTAATTGAAATTAGGAACAAATGAGAGCAAAAGTCGAAGCTGTAAGGTGAGATCCGGCTCGTCTTGTTATTGTTTTGGTTGTTGTGATTACGAAATTGCTGCTTGGGCTATTCCGCTTTGCAATCTGCATATGTACATG